AAAAAAAATTCTCAAAAAAATCGAAAATTTCAGTGGTCTATAAATAACTCAAAAAAGTCGAAAATTTTTGAAAATTAAACTGTATATAGATATCACTAACATTAACATTTGGTGAAAATTTCAAGTATTTACAGTGATTATTTTTTGAATTACAACCATATAAAAATATCGATTTGGTCGAAAACAGGTTTTGCGTATAAATTCCCGTTTTTCTGTCTTTTTTTTTTGTTTTTCTCGATTTTTTTGAAAACTGTTGGAAAATGTTTACTTTTGACCTCTATAATGCACCAAGGATCTTCAATTTTACATCGGAAACCACCCCCAAAGTTTGAAATCGAAGCATTATTTCGACTAGTTATGCTGTACACAGACACACACAAAAAAAAACACACATCATTGTAAAATCAATACATTCATCACTTCGTTCAGAATCTAAAACGAGAATTTTTATGCAATATCGATTTTAGTTTTGGGTGTAACTCTTTGTTTTAGTTTATCGATAATCCTATTGTATAATAAATAGGGGTGGACTGGTCCAGGGTGCTATACACCAAATAGCACCACATGTATTTATGATCCGGGCTCCCGATTATCATTGTCGAGCCCTTTTTAATTTAACTCTTATTGTAATGTATAATAGAAGGATAAATTATAACTGAAATTGACAATACTGTTATTATTATATTTATAATAAGACATTGTATCACTTCTAATTTTAGTAGGTTTAAAAAAAATGTACGGGCCCCTAATTAATTTTGCACCCCGGACTAAAAATTGCTAGTCTGCCCTTGATAATAAAGATAGATATGTATTTCGTTAAAAGAGTAAATAAATTATTGAACTGATTATTGTAATAAATATGAATATGGTAATTTTTGTATTTTATGGTAATAAATTTCTTGTGTATACTATTGAAATGTAAATACATTAACTTTAAGTATAGCTACCTACAATATGGCTATATGTATAGTATGATAATATTATCAGGATCTTAACTCTTTAGTAAAATATTAATATTAAAATATTAAATATTAATGAACCCCAGTATAAAATGTTTTATCATCAATGGTCGATAACTGATGATATACCTACCACTATTTAACAAAAGGTTCTTGATACAATACGTCAATACTTACATATATCCCTAACATACCTATTAGACCACTTTTTCAGAAGTCCTATATATTAAGTCTTACTATTGCAATTGCATTAAAGTCTCTTTATGTCAAATTATATGCTACTGCTACTCGTTCAAATTTTAATTTAGATGTTTGAACATTAACTACTGAATAAGTTAAAATTAATAACGATGGTTTTCATTTGAAAAACTCCAATTTGTTTCACCACACGACACTGCTTAAATATAGTTAAATGATTCGAAAATTTCAAATACTCGAAAATTTGGCCTTTAATTTACATATTATATCTAAAAAATCGAAAATCAGGTTTTGGATACCTAAATTAATAAAGGAAAAAAAGGAGGTGAGCATGCTTTGTAGATCACCCTGTATACGATAACCACTTATTTAATAGTCCATTTTATTTTTTCGTTAAATAGATGACAAAGATGAAACGAGAAGAACTTTTTGACGCTTCGAGAGGTAAGATGACGCTATTGTGCATCAAACGACACGAATAGACCCGCTACAGCGGCCAATTATTCCCACTCCGGCTTTCTCCTACCAGTTGCTACAGTTCAAACCCATTCACTTRTAGTACCTATACCTACCCATAGTCCCATACATACTCGGTTTATTCAGTTTACAGTCTACTAACCAGCACTCGGCAGTATACCTTTCATTAGTCATCACAGTGGACCGTGTCGCTGCCGTATATTTATTTTAATGGTCACCAATATCATTTTATTTATGCACTCGACTTCTTATACGTATAACCCGGTATTGGTACATAATATACGACACGCAAAATGTACCGAAATATTTACAATCAACTAACGAACCCCACGTGAGAACTCATCAAATCGCGTACTACCTGTATAACAATAATAATATATACACCTATTGTGGGAGAGAAAAAGACAAGAGAAACTACAAACATAGGTAAGTACCTGCATACTAGCTATGGAAAAATATATTATGAATATTGTAACATATTATAATATTCATACAGTAACACTTTAATAATACGTGGCTGGATGAAAATAATGGGGTGGTGTATATGGACTTTAACGGTTTCCGATTCCTACGCATAGATGATAGATAGGTACACACGGTGACAAACAATGTAATACGACGAGTATAATATTTTATTAAATAGTTCATCTATTATATTATAGCAAGTTAACTGTGTACGTCTGTATCTAGTAATAATACTTAATAAATAATAATAATAATAATAATAATAATAAAAATAATGGATGAAAAAAAAACCAGTCGCTTGTCTCTGGGAACCGGTTGTGTCGTGATTCAGCCACGACCCCCTCGAGCTCTGCTCCTATATCCAACCGTGGCCGCTTACACGTCTTAACTGCTCTAACAAAGACATGGTTGAAAACTATACACGAGGGAGATCATTTGGCTACAATAATAGACCTAAATCCCATTCGACGTCAATGATGGTGATTAGTGACATTGAACGCGTAAAATGTATTTATGTAAAATAATGTCTGTGGCATACCAAACAGATACACTGTGGGTAGACTTAAACGATATACTTCAGGAAGAGTGGGAAACTGTGAATTTACTTTCTGTTTAAGAAAAGCTTTCAGCTAGGAATCGTATAGTATTACAGTTGATTTTATTACGTATTAGGTATCTGCCCTAGAATAAAATATTAGCTAATTAACTTACAATAAAGTATTAGTTATTTGATGAACAATTAGGAGTTTCAAAAAAAAAAAAATTATTACATATATACTGCAGTATAATATTATGTTTTTAATTTCGGTTTAGAAATAATTTTAAAGTTATTGAAGATCAACGAAATAAACACTATCAAACAATGAAGCTCTTAAGTTATAAAATATTAATAATAAACTATAATGTGTATTATTATTTTGACATAATTAAGTACTTAACCTTTTTATATATTATTGTTTCATTGGTATTTGATAGCATTTATTGGTGCAATACCATTAAAACCATTATATAATTACATTATAAGTATAGGGACTAATATCCAATAAGTCTATAATGAAAGGTAAAATAAAGCACGAAAGAGAGTTGGCAGTGTTGCATAAAGTGCTTGACATTTGCGTGATTTGTGTGTGCATGTCGGTAATAGATACGGCGATGTTGCATAAACACATTTTTGTTTGCAATACTTACACATATCCGACTAGTGCATCCTTATTCGTAAGTTTTAACATTTAATATATCGAATTGATCAGTTTATGATTCCTTTATTAATTTAAAATCGTATTAAATTACTAGTTAGGTACCTATTATCAATTATTACCTACCTAATACTTACCGTTATGGATTAATACAAATATACAATTAATAATAGATTAATATATAGATTATAGGTATCATCAAAATTCTATGTTTAGATAAGTATATCACTGATGTAATTTAATAATTAGGTATTTCAATTTCAAATGATCCTAACAACTTTTGGTAAATAAGGGCAAATATCGTTCATTTAAAACACACATATTTTGTTGGTTCAACAATTTTAGCCTGAATCGATTTTTACATAAGTCATAAGTGCATTGATTCTTGTTAATTTTTTTGCCTATGATAAACTATAATTAATTGATAATGTTTAATGTTAATGATAAACAATAATGGTTCTCGCATAAATAATATATATTGGTTTTTGATAAAACTAAATTATTTTGATACTTTTTACAAAACGATATTTGAGATTCAAATTATTTTTATTTGTTAGATATACTTGGATAGTTGATCGTTATCCCAAATATTGAAAATTATTTTATTAAATTATTAGTTACTGGCGAAACTCTGAGACACGTGAGACTCGCTGAGAATGGGTGTCAAAGGTGGGGTTAAGGTCGTTAGAATTATAAAAGTCACGCCTGTAGGTCGGTTGAAAAGTTAGAGGAGTTAATTTTGGTAGTTGGAGTTTGTTTAGTTACAAGGATTTGTGATGAGGCTTTTGCTCTTTGGTGGTTTCATTTCAAATCTTCGGAAAAAAACGGAAATGTTTGTAAGTTGAGTTTGACTTTCTAGATATATCTCATGCTCAGAGAAATCGGGTTAGAATCACGGGAAAAACGTTAGAAAAACGGGCTTGATAGTTGATACAATCCAGTCTTGTACAGTTGTGCTTTTATGAAAGTCGAACAGTGCAAATCTAAAAAACCGTATTTGAGTGTTTAGAAAGTCAGACACTTTGAGTGAAAATAGATAAAGTTCAACTTAGTCACATAGCTAGGCAAGCCGACTGCTAGGTGATTTTCTTGGATCGTTATCCCAAACACTGAAAATATTATTTTATTAAATAATTTTTCATTAATTTAAACTGAATTATATATCTGAGTTATATGTGTTCGTTAATTTTTATGTAGTGAAAACTCAACATGAGGAAATGATATTCAGACCTATTATGATAGCGATTTTCCAGTGTAAATTACCTATAGATAGTTTCGATTCATTTAATTTATTTTAACACCATAATATAATAATTTTGGGCAAAAACAGATTTTTTGCGCAGCAAGTGAGTTGATTCTCGACACCTACTTTATGTAGGTATTAGTTTATTTCCGGGTTATTAAGAGGTTGATTATATTAGACATTTATATATTATTATATTAGTACTAATATATAATATAATATAATATTATTAAATTAGTACGAATTGATTCCCTATCGTTGTATATTATAACAATAATATAGGTATTTCTAATCAATATATGCATTATATTTATACAGCAGTATTATAGATACATGTATCAAAAATAAAATGACATCAGATATATCATGTATTCCGGAACTTTTTTTCGAGTATCATGACCAACCCTGCAGTTAGTGTCATAAAAAAATTTAATATTTTTAAAATATCCCATGTCGGCGACTCGCCAAAGGTTACGTAGTTTTAAGCATGATGGTTCGTTATGAAAATAACAAAAACTAATATTTTATAAATTATAATACTGATGACTGTTGTAAAATCAAGCATTATAATACAAGTGTGATTACCATTTTCAGATTTTCTGGTAGATAGAGGTAGCTAAGATAGATAAGCTACTCTAGCAGTGGAAAATATACAAATGATGTGTACATTATTATGCAGTCATGCAGATATGTATGCGCGTGCAATAATCGTGATTCGCTTTCACTACTCACCACTTATGAAGATTATTCATAGTTTTCCCGATGTTGGTAAACTCCGAAATCATAATAATATTATTTGGTAACATATATTGAACTACATTCGTAATGTTGAGTAAATTATCCGTGAAACCAAATTCGTTCTATAATCTGTTGCAGAGTATATGTAGGTACCTCGTAGCTCAATAAATTCGGCGGTGAAGATTGCGTATGGGGTGTAATAAAATAATAATAATGTCATAATAATAGTACCTATAGGTAGTTGTGGGTAATATGCGTCGCTTTGAGGCACTTGTACACGTAATAAATAATATACATGTATATTATATATCATATAAAGGTACGTTGAATGTTCGACGATTTTGTTCTCTATGAATAGTAAATAAATAAATTATAGTAATAACGATGACGGCAATAACAATGTTTGGCAAACATACATGGCGTTATTATATTATATTATATGATGCAAGCAAAAAGTACAATAATGTTAAAGAATTTTCAAAACAAAAAATAAAAGATAAACAAACCTTCGATCACCTGACAGTAATGTTATTCTTTTAACATAATTTTCTATTACAATGCGTCAACAATGGTCAACGAATAAAGAAATTACTTTATAATATAGATACAAAGCCTGAGATAATACGAGGTAAGGAGTAAGGACATTACACTCGATTTGTTGGTTTTATTATTTAATAATTTTAAAGAAAAGATTAGTGAAATTGTTTTTACTATTTATATTCAGATTACTATCGTAAGGTTGGATATGAGTTTATGACCAAGAAAATAAGTTTAATGATTAAACTTTTCAACTTAGAAAATGAATTAACTTAATATTTTATAATTTGACTCAATTTTATACAAATTATATTTCTAAATAAATTATAATTTGTTAGTCAATTTAAGTTGATATTTAACCTTAGTTTAATCGGATAGTTTTACTATTTAAGATCATACCCTTCACGAATAGTTCAGCTCTACACCAAAATACTAATCTTTTATACTATAGCATACGAGTATATGTAAAATTTGAAATTTAATGGTTTTAATCAACATACCTTAATATGAATAGTTATCTATATAATTACTTGGATTTTTTTATTTAATTGGCAGTTATTTTATAAAAGTTATGTGAAACTAATTACTCATATTATTATGTTATGAGTTTTTTATTTACATATTATATGAAAACCTAGGTAACATAAAGATTAATATGGGTTAGGAAAGAGCCCGGCAGACCACCATAGCCAGAGACGCGACGGCGGAAGACGGGACCTAAACTATTTATAATAAAATATAAAAATATGATGTGTATAATGTGATAGTAGTGAGTGGGAGACTGGCCCACCATTGCTAATAAGGTTTTGTATTGATTATTCAATAGACGATGGGGGCCGGAGGAGAAGTATTGGCAAGATAGTTCCTTCTCCGGACCTCGATACCATAGGAAAAAAAAAAAAAAGATTAATGTGGGGTGAGGGTTAGTCCCGAATGTCCCGATATTTCTGACGGGTGATTGTAAACTCGGCCCGAGGGAAAAAAATGTTTAAAGGGTCTTTTGTAAACTAGGCCCGTGTTTTTTTCTGGTAAAAATTCTTCAGGTGTAAACTCGGCCCGGATAAAAATGTTTTTATATAATTTTCTTATAATATTTTTAAGAACCATTTAGCATTACTCAGAGGACACCACGAGGAGGCGATTCTCATTATCCCGCAAAAATTATTTTCATTTTCGTATTATTATTCATAGTATGAAAATCGTTATAGGTATAACTGTAAAATGTATTTATGTAAATTTGTAATTGT